CTAAAACCTGCAGGACACCGGCCCTCGAGGCCTGGAGTTCGACACCCCTGGTTTAAGGTCATGCAAAAGCATCTCAATCAGTCTGGACTTTGACTAGGCCACTCCAATTTATTTATTTATTTTTTTAAAGCCACGCTTGCTTCAAATATCTGTCCTACATTCTCCTTCAGTATTTTCTGGTAAAGAGCAGAATTCATGGTTCCAGCAATTACAGCAGATGTCCAGGTCCTAAAACGGCAAAGCCATGTTTGAGTGTTGGTCTGAAGTTCTTTTTAAGAACCTCGCGATAAGTTCAGTTCTTTTTGGTCAGCAGTGGTTTTCTACTTGGAAATCTCCATTATTGCCCTTTCTATTATTGAATCCTGAACTTTAACAGGTGACGCTTTAGGCAAGTGAGGCTTGCAGCTCCTTAGATGATATCCTGGGTTGTTTTGTGACCTGGATTATCTTAGTCTAATATAAATTTTAATATTAAACATCTAAACAAATGCGCAAAAACGAAGAAATCAGATTCAGAAGGGAGGCAAATAAATTCCTGTGGTACTGTAGATGCTACTGTTGTCAAGCCATGAACACTCTTCTTAATGCATGGAAAGTCTAGCATCCTGAGACTCTGAGCATTAGAAACAGGAGATTAGTGGAGGATTAGCTAGCGTCAGAGTCACAGTCCAGGATAAAAACACAAAACATCCAGGAGTACATCAAGAAGATGGCAGATGAGCTTCTCCAAGAGTGCCTCAGACAGCAGTGATGATAAATAAGAGAAGGTCCTGTCATGGAAGACCAAGCATGCATGGGATGTACCATCAACACACAGGAAGGAAATCCTGCCAGTGGTTAGAAAAGGCCTGCTTAATGTGCAACAGAGAGGCTCTGAGCATGGCAGCACAAGAACAGGCTCTAAGCACCAGATCCACAGAGGCAGGACTAAGAAGATGAGAGGGAGCTTTTATTTACTTATGTAATTCTAGTCTTTTGGTGTCATTATATTGGTACCTCAGACTGAGGTGTGCATCTTTTTGATAGACTCGAGGAAGCAGCAGAAATATCATCCTAAATCCAAATGTACGCACACCAGGTCATAGATGCAGTTTAATTTAGGCTCTAATCTACTTGTAAAACCCTTCATTAATGTGTTAGGTCTTAATTGACTCGTCAGAACTTAAGCATTAAAGGTCAAGAATTGTCATTAGGAGTTGCTGATGAAACTTCCAGAGCTTAATAAATCCTCAGAGTCTTCAAATCTTGCCATAACAAAGGACGACCATTGAGTTGAGGCTCAGATTGAGGATCTGTTAATGAAGCTAA